TGTAGTAGTTCAGTACTTATCCCTAGTATAGGTGTGGACTCTGGGAGCCATTCCACATAGAGGAATACTCCCTGAGCCAAGACACACAGGGGTGGGCCTAGGCCCTATCCCAAAGGATATGATAGACTCTGATGACACCCTATGGAAGGCCTCACCATCCAGGGGGAGCAGAAAGGATATGTGTAGGTAGGATTTTAGTTGGGGCGGGGAGGACAGGAGGGAGAAGGGAACTGGGATTGTCATATAAAACAATTTTGTTTCTAATTCAAATAAAAAATCTGAAAAAAAGGGCCTTCTAGGGCCTGGGGCAACTGCTCAGTGATTAAAATGCTTAGCACAAGGACCTGAGATAGATCCCAGCACCTATGTAAACAGATGGGCACAGTGGACTGCATTTAGACCTAATGTTGGGGACAAGGAGACAGGCAGATACCCTGGAGCTTGCTGGCCAGCCAGGGGTTCCATACCCACTGAGAAACCCTGCCTTAAAACACAATGTGTGCTGCTCCCTGAGAAATGGCCCCAAGACTGACCCCTGATCCACACACAAGAATGGATGCACACACAAATACAAAAGTCAAAGGAACTTTTGAAGATTGGGAAGGTGACCACAAGTTGTGAACTCCCTTTTAGAACTTTCCTTTGGACACGAATATCCTCTGTCACTCCATTCTTGGATTTTTCCAGGCTGGGCCTTTGCACACACTGCATCCACAACTTGAGCATTGCCTCCATTCCTCCTGGCTAACTTCTACTCACGCCTTGAGACAGTTTTTACTGACTGGCCACCTACCTGTTCCCACAATCCTGATTAGATGGGGGGTCTATTTGTAGTCACACCCTGAAGCCTTCCGGTTGTGCAAGAGACAGCATGGCAGACTGATTAAAAAGTGGGCCTTTTGGTGTTAGACCAGGCCTGGGTCCAAATTATTTTTCCTGCATGTATGTATGTACACTGCACACTTGCTAGTGCCCATGAAGTCAGAAGAGGGTGTCATAGTCTCTGAAACTGGAGTTATAGATTGTTGTGAGCTACATGTGGGTGCTGGGAAATGAACCTGGTTCCTCTGGAAAAGCAACGAGTGCTTTTAACTCCTGAGCTGTTTCTCCAGCCTCCAATGTATCTTTCCCCCTTTTTTAATCACTTTGTGTGGATGGGCATTTTATGACTGTGCACCATGTGCATTCCTGGTGCCTGAAGAGGCCAGAAGAGGGCATTGGATCCCTGGAGCTGCAATTATAGGCTATTGTGAGCTGTCATTTGGCTGCTTGGTTTTGAACCCGAGTCTTCTGGAAAAGTAGCTGGAGCCATTTCTCCAACACCAATATGGATAAAAATCCTAATGGTTGTTTCCTCTGACAGGTTATACAGAGGGGAGGGACTTGTCTGTTTGTTGCTAATATTTCCTGCATGTGGAACAGTGGCACACAGTGGAGGCTCAATAAACACAAATGCAGTATACAGATGCAGCATTGCTGAGAGCAGGAAGTGCCATTTATACAGGATATGTGGCCTTGTTCTTGAGACAGGTTCTGGTTGTACAGTCCAGGCTGGCCTGGAATTCATCATCCTGCCTCAGCCTCTGAATGCTGGGGTTATAGATGCTAACTCTGCTGCAGTAGATGGTCCTGTACCCATGCATACACAGGCACCACTAACTGGACTCAGTGGGCTTGAAAGAGAGATAGAGAAGAGATGAGAGAGAGAGAGAGAGAGAGAGAGAGAGAGAGAGAGAGAGAGAGAGAGAGAAGTTGGGAGGGAAAAGAGGTGGAGAGATAAGGGAGGAACTGGAGGGGAGGGACTGGGGGGATGGATTTTATCCAAATACATTATATACATCTATGGATATTAAATAAACTGCTTTTTCAAAAGAAGATGGACAGCGCCTGAGGCACAACACTGGAGGTTGACCTTTGTTCCACTCCAAAGTTACTTAGTTCTAGATGTATTGTGGCTCTCTTTAAGCCGAGGAAGCTTGGGACTTTTAAAAATCTTGTATGTTGCAAAAAGTGAAAGCAAAAAGAGAAATAAAAGAAAGAAAAGCGAAGGAACAAAACAGAAGGACTATGGAGAAACGGGAAAGTAGGGAGGAAAGAAAAGGAAGGAAAAGAGGAAGAGAAGAGCCGGCTTTGCTCCGGGGACCACCTACTGGAAGGGGCTGGAATTGCAGACGGTGACGGCCGGGAAGTTCATGGTCTTGAAGCCCATGGAGAGCGAGACGCTGACCTCCCAGCTCAGGTAGGTCTGGATGAAGACGCCCCATTGCCAGCATACCAGGCAGGCGAAGAGCAATGTGAGCAGGAACCACATGGCCTTCTTTTTGGGCCCCTCGCAGATGATGCGTTTGGGGCCGTGCGTGTTGGTGTTGTTGCAATACCACACAAGCAGCTCCTTATAGGTGTAGCCTGGGCCCTTCTGCAACCGGTGCAGGCACTTCAGCAGGTACTTCTTCACTGGCATGGTGGCACCTGCTGGGACAAGGGATGCCATCAGACAGGGCACTGTTGAGGAGGTCACAGGCAGAGAGACTGGTTGCATAGACCAGTCTTCTCTCCTTCCTTCCTTTTGTCACCCGCCATCTATCCTTCCACCCATCTATTCATTCAACAGATAGTGCTTATTGAGTGACTACAGCATAACTGAACTAATGTCTGTGGATTCAGGGATGAGCAAATCAGACAAGGTGTCTATGCCTTGCCCCCTCCCCCTCCCCCCCAAGCCCATGCTAGCCTTGAACTTACCTCTATCCCTCTGTCTCTGCCACCTGCTCACTGTGGGATTACAGGCATGGACCACCATGTCCATCCCAGTGACTGAGGGTTTTCAGCCCCAGGGAATGCCCAGCAAAATGGACCAGTTGCTAAATTTCTCAGCTCAGGTTTCCCATGTATAACATGTTAACATATCTAATTCTTTCATCTCGCTAAAAAATTAACTCTGAGAATTTTTATTTGTGTGTGTGAGTGTGCTAATCCATGCTGGTGACAACCTTCAGGAGTCTGTTCTCTTCTTCTACCATGTCAGTTGAATTTGGAGCCCTGTGCATGCTAAGCAAATACTGTGTCACTGACCTCCACACCAAGCCCTGTCACAGCTAATTTACAGAATTGCTGAGAAGGTGAAAAAATGTGTAATGGGGGTGCTGGAGAAATGGCTCAGAGGTTAAGAGCACCGGCTGCTCTTCCCGAGGTCCTGAGTTCAAATCCCAGCAACCACATGGTGGCTCACACCATCTGTAGCCCTCTTCTAGCATTTAGGGAGAACACTGTATACATAATAAATGAATAAAATCTTTAAAAAATGTGCTATGTCCAAAGCTCGACCACCCTAAGTGAGGCGTGAGCTGATGGCATTCTGACTCAATGAAGGGGGACTGGTGCTGATAAGATAACCGGTCAGAAATGCTGAGCTTCCAACTGGGGCCAGCACAGAGACTGGGACTGTACACCCTTGAGTTCCTAAAGGCATGAGAGGGTGATGGTTAAAAAACGAGTTGTCTGCATAGGCATTGTGGTGCCTTCTTGTAGTCCCATCATTTGGGAAGCGGAGGCAGAAGGATTGCCCTGTGTTCCAGGCCAGCTTGGGCTACAGAGTGAGACCCTGCTTATAAAAAGCAAGGGTTTGAGGTCAAGTGTATACTGAAGCACTTATCTAGCCTGTGGGAGTCTCCATAGCCAGAAAGAGGGAGAGCAGAGGGAGGGTGAGGGAGGGAGAGAGAGAGAACATGAATATGGGATCTTGAGGTCCCATCCCCAACACTACAAAACAGGGGAAAAAAGAAAGAAAATGTAGCTTGGTTGGCAGAGTGCTTGCATAGCACGTACAAAGCCCTGGGTTTGAGACCCAGCGCCACACAAACTGGGTGCGTGATACACACTTACAACCCCAGCAGAAGGACCAAAGTCATTTCCAGCTACATAGGGAGTTCAAAGCCAGCTTGACTATCTGAAACCCTGTCTCAAAAAACAAAAATAGTGAGATTTGATTGTCACCCCCATTTTCTATCTATGCAACTTTCCCATAAGTTGGGAATTCCCAGGAGGGCAAGAAAGATGGTTGATTTTGCTAATCACTGAGTCCAGAGGGACAAGCTCAGTGCCTGGCTGCATGGGTGGGAGGCATTAAGTCTTGGATTTGGAAAGAATTCTCCAGCAGCTCCATAGGTCAGGTTGGAATGGGGGGGTGGTCTTAGAGCATTGCCTGGTAGCTGAGGATCAGGGAAGATTCTTAGACCATTCTAGATCTGGGACATAGGAGGCAGGGATCTTGCAGAGAATACTAATAATTGTCACTACATTTGGCATGAGTGAGCCTCAGGGACCCCTCACCCTCCAGCAGTCACCCTAGCCCTGGGTTCCTGCTGTCTCAGCTGAGTCCACCTCTAAGCGGCAGAGGCTATTCATCTCCTGCTATCCGGACTCTGAGCTGGCATGACACTCACTCTCCTGTGAGAGCCACTCCCTACTGGGGACACTGTGGTGGGACATTTGGTACCTTCTGATCCATTCCACATCCCTCCTCCTTCTCCAGCAGTTCAGGGGAACCCTGGCCACTCCTAGTCTGATTTGACAAGAGTGGCCAGGCTGGCCCCTACCCTTAACCCTAGGGAATGTAGCCATTGTCATGTAGCCATTGTCATGTACACCACAGAAACTCAATCCTGCCATTGTAGCCTAGAACAACAGAGGAAGAGACCTTCCCTTTTAGCCAGGACTTCTGACATGGTATTTTTTTTGTCACCACACAATAGGATAAAATCAATATGGGGAGAGGAGAGCCTCAGGCCAGTAACCCAAATCAGCTGCTGGATCTAGCTGTGCCTGAAGCCACCCAGTCATTCATTAGAGGGCTGTGGGACCCAAGAGGTTGATTTTTTTTTAAATTATGCATACTGATTCAAATTGGGCCTGTCATTTGCAGCTCTTAGAAGGTTAGGAGGAATTCATCTCTCTTTACCCCGTGTTACAGTTGTTTACTTGGATGGCTCCTTCCTTAAACTCTCAAGCTCCCTAGGAGATGAGGAAAGGCAGAAGCTTTCCTCAGGTTACACCCAGCTCTCCACTGAGCAGCCAGCTATAGCACTCCAGGCTTCCCTTTCTGCACTGTCCAAGTGTGTCCACACCCAGTCTGGATACAGTGGCATCCTCATCTTTCTTCCTGTAACAGGAAGGGACCAGAGCACCAGGAACAAACCTTGCCATCTCTAAGGTCTTTGTTCTCTGTGGGAATCAAATTCCACAGCCTCCCAAGCCATTGTGGCTGTAAGGTGAGCATGCACAGACTTTTCCAGCACCAGTCCCTCGGTGGGCCTGTCCTCTGCTCTTCTAGCTTGTGCAGTAGCAGCTGCAAGAGTGTCAACACACTGTTTCAGATGTCACTTTCCTCTAGTCCATTATTCTTATGACTGGTGAGTGGAAAGAGAATGAGTCTATCCTGTCTGGAACACTCCAGCACCCAGAGGCCTCCCAGAAATCAGCGTATTAGGTTCCAATGAACTGCTTTGGCAGAAAGAAACAAACAAAGGGCATTTCTCTGGTCCTAATCTTTTCCATTCTCATTTAATCCTTCTGGTTCAGTCAAGGAGAAAGTCGAAGCTCTGTACAGGCCTCTGATCCTCGATAATCTCCTAGCTCAACAGTGGGGCCTCGGGCTCAGAATACAGTTAGACATAGCACCCGGTTAGAATAGGCAACATTTGTGTTTTCACTGAGGGGTTTGTTTATTTACGTTCTGAGACAAGTTCTGAGACAACCTTGTCAGTCATACCAGCCTCGAGCACCTTAGTTACTGGAGAATTGCCTTGAACTCCTGATCCCTCTGCTTCAACCTCCTGTAGTGCTGGGATTCCAGGTGTATGCCACCATACCTGTGTTGTAATTTATGTTTAATTTAATATAAATTTTTTATGAAGCTGGGGAATCAAACCTAGAGCACACTAGGCAAGTGTTTTGTCATTGAGCTGCAGCCCCATCTCATTATTATTACTTATTAATAGGCATGCAGACAACACACTGCTCATTGGACTTGCTTTTGGCTTTTAAGTCACATTTATTTATTTATTTATTTATTTATTTATTTGTGTGTGTGTGTGTGTGTGTGTGTGTGTGTGTGTGTGTGCACACGCGTGTGTGTCTGTAAGCCTGATGGCAACCTTGTGTATTGTTCCTCTGGCACTGTCCATGCTGTTTTTTTGAGACAGGAGCTTCCATACCTAGAGCTCTCTGAACAGACTAAGCTGGCTGTCCTCTCTGGCCCCAAGCATCAGCAGTCTCTGCCTCCCTGGTACTGGGATTACACACACAGGAGCTGCCACCCATGGTTTTTCATGTGGGTTCATGGGACTGAACTCTGGTCCTTGTGCAGCAAGTGCGTTGCCAGCTGAGCATCCTGACACGTCTTTGCTTTTTAAAAGACATGTGCTGGCTCACATCTGTAATCCCAGCTGTTCCTGAGGCTGAAGAAGGAGGCTCTGAAGCTTTAGGCCAGTCTGGACTACATTACTAGCTCAAGGCTAGCCTGGGAAATGTAGTAAGACCCGATTTCCATTAATCAATGGACCAATCAAGCAACGATTGAAGATGTAGCTTACTACTATGTCACTTATCTAGTATTTCCATCCTCAGCACTACAGCCCCTCCCATGCAAAATGGCACCTTTAAGAAAATGAAGGAGCAAGAGAAGACACCAGTGACATACAAGTTTGACATAGAACTTGGATGCCAGATACGTAGGGACTCATACAAATCAGAAGGTAATCAAGAACATGGAGTCAGCTCAGATAGCCAACCACAGGTGAATGGATAAAGAAAATGTGGTAGCCTGCCATGATAGTGAACATGTGTAGTCCCTGGATTTGAGAGGCTAAGGCAGAAGGATTGCAAATTCAAGGCTAACATAGTAAGAGTGAACCTCAAAACAAAACCAAGCAAAATATAAACAAGTAAAACTCCAACCAAAAAGGAAAAATAAAAATCAATGGAACATTATTCATCCATAAAAAAATGTAAACTGGGTTGGAGAGCCAGCTTAGCAGTTTAGAGCGCTTGCTGCTTTGCAAGGGGCCTGGATTTGGTTCCCAGTACCCACATACATCTACCTGTAACTCCAGTTCCAAGGGATTTTATGCCCTCTTCTGGCCTCCATAGGCACTGCATGCACATGACACACAGGTGTTCGTCCAGACAAAGCACCCATACACAAAGCCCATGGCTGGGAAGGGCAGTGATGACGGAGAGAGTGAGAAGGAGGGGCTGCTAGCAGGGACCAGGAGGAATGACTTTCACTTTCTATAGTACAATGGCTACTAGTTGATAACAACTAATTGAATACTCAGAATAGGCATAGAGAGGATTGTGACTGTTACAGCAGAAATGATAAATGTTTGAGGTGACAGGAACATCAGTCACCCTGATCTGATCATTATCTGTTGTGTTCATGGATGAAAAACTCATACACTCACAAAAA